AATATGAGCAAAGGCAATTAATACAAATGACAAAATAATAAAAAGGCGAAAAAGTAAGCGAGTAACCTTCAATGTTTTTTTTAGGGATTGTTTCTCTTGTACTGCATCAAAAGTTTTATGACTTTCATGTTTTCGTGACACTTTTCTAAAATTTCTCTTTTGAATCAAAGTGAACATCCAAGCTAACAATTGCCTATTAAATGTAGGTATGCTGAAGTATCTTTAAGTCATGAAAATTCAACAGTGAACTAACCAATGTTTTATATTTTATTTTCGATACGGACTCATCATTTCATGGAAAAAGAGGAAATGGATTGATATTTCAAAAGGGGATAACTGGGGATCAATAAGCCATTAGTGCCATTTAAAACCAGTTTCAACAGGAGCAAAGAAAGAAAAATTTTATCTTCATTGTTTTACTACATATATGGTGCTAAGAGAACAAACCTAAAACGTTCCCTTATAGGTAGAACATTTTAAAAGTTACGACTTGAAAAGGTGCTTGATTGCCGGGTAACATTGCAAAAAAAGAAAAACGCTTGTAGAGTTTGTTACAAATCTTGCCTAGTTTTGTTTTGGGGACACTGCAGTGCTTTATACGTTTGAACTTTCCTGAATTTTCGATTCACTCTTATACAATATCTAATCAGGTGAAATTTGATTTATTCTCTAAAAATTGCCCGAGTACCGAGACTAAATAGTGTTCAGTTGTATTCACCTATTAGTTACCGATATGTAACTAGTCCCAGTCTAGTCTAGTCTATTGACTGATAAAACGTACAGCGCATCACATCAGTATCGAATGGATGACATAAATCAACCCTTCCAAACCAATGGTCCAAATGATTTTTAAATTATTTTTTTAACGCACATTATTAGTAGCACAATAGGCAAATCATTTTCAAGATCATTGGCGGCCAAAATATGGAATTGCATACCTCCGAGTATTAGAAAACTCCTAAAGCAGCTTTAAAAAGAAAATAATTGTTTACTTCAAATCCTTTCACAGACAACGACTATTCTGGACTACCTACCTTACTAGGACAAACGTAACATATTCAAAATCATACGTAACTCACTCACTCATTATCATTGCAATGATCGTAATAGTGTACTTTTAAGCTTCTGATTTATATTCTGTATTCCAGTTAACCTCAGCATTGTTTTTAACTTAACTTTTCTTTTGCTCTTTACCATTTGCACAATTTATATAAAACTTTTATTGACTTGTTTATTATTCTCACGGTAATGTATTTTTGTTTTCTGTTAAACATATGATTGTGAAGCGCTATTGATCAGCACATGTAAATACGCGCTATATAAATTGGTAAATTATTAAATTATTATTATTAAATACCATTTGGAGTGCGTATTTGTGTTATATAGACACTGCCCACCTAGACTAGCCTTTGCTATTTGTGAGCAATGAGGAAATAAAACTGTAAATGCCAATAAAATGAAATGAAACATTATGGCTAAATCATATTCAGGCAGTACTTATCTTTTTAAAAATAAAGATACCAGGAAGAATTTGCAAAATCCGACTTTAAACTCACTAAACCACAGAAGAGCTTGGCTTCACAAACAGTTGAGGTATGCCTAAACTCCCACCAAATAACACTGAGGATATACTTAGCGCGTGATGTAATACTAGCAATCACATCTTCTCAGTAAAAATCTTCCGAAAGTTTAACACTCAGATAAGAATGATGGTGGTAGCCAGCTGCTTGGCAGGCGTTTGAAAAGGAAGGGAAAGGGGGTTTTGGGCGCGAGAAAATAGGGGCGCGCGAGGAGGGAGGGATGGAAACTTTCTCTCCCTCCTCGCGTGCCCCTTGCGTTTCTCTTGCGCCTAAAACTCCCTTCCCTTCCCTTTCAAACGCCTACCACGCAGGCCATGATGGTGGCTGACATCTAGGCTATGGTTATTATATTAAAAATATTGGGTGCAGCTTGATTATATACGTAGCCTGCGAAAACAGCCGTTTCTCCTCGCTCTTCGCCGCTGAGGACGTTTCGCGAGGAATAACGTCTGCGACTCAGCGACAGAAATTCCATACTGATGACGTAAAATCTGTCCGAAATCCGGTCAGAAGCGCTGATTGGTCGACTGAGTAGTTGCATCACACGAATGACAGACAAAAAGATAAAAGGTCCCGACGGTTGGATGTGGAACCCCATGACCACAGGACATACGTCATCAGTAGCTGAGTCGCAGACGTTCCTCCACGCGAAACGTCCCCAGCGGCGAAGTGCGAGGAGAAACGGCTGTTTTCGCAGGCTATTATATAAGCCATTTTTCAAACGTCATCGCAGCACCGCAGGAAGTTTGGGTATGATAATAATTATACAAGCTTGCAAAGCAGCGGATAATGCTTATTATTATACATTGTAGTCACCACCTGTCTAGAGTAACCGATTTTCGGATGTCAATTAAGACCCTTTGTCGCGTTGGATGTCTAATAAGTGATTAGACATGGATGTCTAATCACTTATTAGACATCCAACGGCGCGCAATGCATGATTTCCAAGAGCAATGTCAAGTACACGGACAGCAATGTCAAGTTCGCGGACAGCGAAGTAAGAATGGCTTCTCGATTCGCTTCATTGACCCAGCAAGAAATTGAGAAATTACTTGAAGATAAAGTATAATAAAACAATTATTAGATTCGGTTTTTGTAATATCCGGAATAATCAAGGTCTCGGTTAGTGTTATCAGCCCCAGCCTTCGGCTTCGGCTGACAACACTTACCTCGACCTTGATTATTCCGGATATCACAAAAACCTCATCCAATAATTGTTTACACTAAGAGAAAATTTTTGCAATACCCGGTAGCCCGAATTATGACCCGGGTACTACAGTAGAGGGCACGTTTATATTAGAGCCTGGGGCCGGATTGTTCAAAGCTGGGTTAACATTCAGATATAAAAGCTTGAAAAGCAAATTCAGGTTAGTTCTTATTGTCTACAATTTGACGATTAGATCCTCTAAAAAAAATTAGAGAAAATTAATCGAGAAAATGCTTTTGATAAAAATAAAAATAAATCCGGGTTAAAATTAAACACCAGGGCCCGGTTCCTCGAAGGATGGTTAACTTTAACCCAGGATAAAGCCAAATCTTAAGCAAGGTTTTCTTGTCTAATAACATGTCACTCGAGCTTACAAAATACTGTTGTGCCTTTACTTCGAGATTCAGTGATGATAGCACAGAATGTTACTTTGAGCAATGCATAGGAATTAACTAAGGTAAATACAAAAATGGAACCGGCGCCTGGTAAACCCTAATCGGCCTTCCAACAATTGGCCCAGCGTGTAAATTGTAATGAAGCAAGAATTTTTTCATAACAAAAGATATCCCATATTCCCTAGCGTTGTATATATTACCACAATTCTTTCTATTGTGTTCCCCCAGGCATGACGCAGGGCACTGCCTGCAATGCATGTGAATGTACAGCTGTGCACAACTGTGGACAGCGACCATTTTCACCACTCCACATCTAATTACATATTCATGTGGATTGTAGGTGGTGAGAATATGTTATGAGCAACTCGCCCAACATGTGTAAATGGCATCAAACCAACGCTTTGGGATAGATGTATAACAAATTTAACATTTTTTCTGGGGGCGTGGTTGCCAAGCGGTTAACACCTTGAACTCCGAATTTGGAGGACGGAGTTCAAACCTTGCCATCACATTGTTTCATTAGACAAGGAAATCTACTCCACTTTGTCTCTCTTCACCCAGGTGTGTAAATGGGTACCGTAGAAATACTGCTAGGGGTAACTTCGATGGATAATTCTCCCATCTAGGGGGAGCATAGCAATTATCCTTAGTCTTTTCATAGATGGTAACCGGGGATAACTTCAGGCCTTTTGGATTAAGCATTGTTTCTTTTGATATGAACTCTCTTTTCACTCAGGTTTCAGCTGTTAGGTTTGGAAACTTACTAAAAGTTTTCTAATATCAGATCTGAATAAAAAAAGGCTCTATATGGGTGTCAATGTATTTAGCACGAAGAACTAATTTTATGTCTCCTACTGGAGATGGGAAGGCCATTTTGCGTGGTCATCCGAGCCACACCAAGGTCTAGCCGTATGCTGGGAAAAGGCAGTACCTTCATTTCTCAGTTATTTTAAGACCCTGAGCATTGGTCCAAACCCCGGGAATCAAACACGCGGCGTCCCGCTCTGCAGTAAAGCGTTCCAGACCAGTGACTAAGTTAATCATGGCTGAGCTAATCATGTCGCGGTTCAAATAAAAGGCAAACACTTTTCATATTTGTATTCTGCACATTTTATTACGTTAGGGGAAATGAGTTTGAGCAAAAGACAGTGAAGTTATTGAAAATAAACAATCAAAAAAAGACCCATTTTCTTAATTCACCATCAGCTACTTTTTCTTTGAGAAGAACTCTTGGATTTTTCAAAATTTTGAGTTTAATGGAACTGTGTTAAGGCAGTTTAGTTCATTTTGTTTAGTTTTGTAAATTACCTTCTACGAAACTTAGTATTAGCGAAAAATTACTTCCAATTGGAAAACCACTGCTTTGTAAAAATAAAAAATTACAAAGATAAAGTTTCAAACACTAACAGCTTAAACAGTTTTTAAAAAAATTATTCCGTTTTATTATGATGCAGTTAACTCCAGCATCACATTTTCTTGATTGGCATCAAGCCTTCATTCAACATTTTTAAACTCACATTTCCATTGTACTGTTTAAAATAAGAAAACGTAAAAAAAAAAAAGAAAAAAAATGAATATTTACTTCTAAGTTCATTACGCTAAACACTTGACAATTTGCTTTCCGCCACAAATAACTTGGTAAGCCAAACATGCTGATTTGTAAGTTGTCAGAATACAAGCTGGCCAAGGGGTACTTGATTTTCGTCCCTCTACGCCTTGGTTATAAAGCCATTCAGTAATGTTTCTAACTGGATTATTATGTTTACTGATTGAACGGTTAAGGCAGCCATTACAACGAATATACATAGTTTGCGAAAATTAGATCATCATAGATGTTCTTCGCATTATGTCTTGCTCACTTCGATCCAGTGCAAGCTGCCACGCATGAATCATGTGCTTGACAGAAACGTCTTCGGGAATTTCATCCAAGCCCGGAAATTCTTCCTCGTTTTCTTCAAAATACGTCGTCAAGTACTCACATAGGCTGTAGAAAGAATCAATAGCCTAAATTTAAGCTGCGTTTGTTGGAGTTAGAATACTTCATGGAACGTATGGCATTCACACACTGTTGGTTCATTTCAGTATTATATAGATATAGCCAAGGCTAAAGGCGAAGCTCCCGTTAACAAAATTTATAATTTACTTCAAACAATAAACTTGTAACCAAGTAAAATAGAAATCCACTGACAATTGTGCATGCGATCAGTTGAAAACTAGTAACTTGTCAGTGATACAACTTCAAAACAACAAGCAACTAATACTGATACCATGTGATACTGGTCAGCGGATACCCTGTTTTGACAGCTGTCAATTGACCACAACACGTGTGTGCAATATACCAGGTTGCAGGGTCCCACTCTAGCCAGAAAATGTGACTTTTCTCATTGGTTTCCCTGTGATGCGGGAGGACGGGCTGACAGACGGTCACGTGAAGGGAAGGTCGGAGTTCGTCGGTTACCATGCAGCTCATGTAGGTGTTAAAACGTAACGTAAAAGCTTACACACTACCTCATTTCCCCAATTTCTTCTTCCTCCTCAGCAAGACTGACACAGATGACTTCAACAACTTTAGTCAAGAAGAGATGTACGTCAACTTTCCTCCTAAGCGCCCCACTAAAGCGAGTTATCACTTTCTTCGGCATTTTATCCTTAAAACAGCCCGGTACGTGATCAAAAGGATCCTGAGAACGATAGAGATGAAAAATACAAAACGAGTCCAGTTTACAAAGTTAAGTTACAAATATACACAAAATGAAAGAAGCGAATCTACTAGTTACCAAGTTACAAGTAAGCCACTTTTAAAGCAAGATAAAGAAATAAAAAAAAAATACCTGATTGTTGTTCAAGAGAAACGTTGCACGTGCAACAGCAAGGGTTCGCCACAATTCCAGAATGTTTTTTAATTTGCACTGCTGGTAAGCCTGGAAATAAGGTATTCAAATTTTTTTTATTAGTATGAGAATAGAATATCTTAAAATATACCTAACTTTAAAGGCGTGCCATAAAGCCAAATTTTAAAATACAATTTAGTCATCACGACCTCTCTAACAATTTAAAACAGGGCGTCAACATTAGAATCAACCAACTTAATTACATTTGCTTGATATTCTTCCACTGCTATTATTTGTGAATTTATATTTGTCATAGTTCTAGGCATATAATTTAAGGGTCTTGTATTTTTTATGCAGTTTCCTTTTATCCGACTCGATTACGATATTTTTTTGGCTGGGGCTTGGGACAAACATTTGTTTTACATTTGTTGGCTTAAATATTGCAAACATAAAATCTTGTGTTTTAATAGATACTTAAAGTCATATTTTCAATACGGGACCGAAAAATAGTATGTTTCAGTCCTTCACCAGAAAAGAACTCCATTTAAAACCATAGGGCAACTAATAACTACTATAGCCTTACTTGTCAAAATCAATTAATTAAATTTTACGGTTAATTTTTTTTGAAAACCTTCTTGTTTTTCGGTGTTGATTTTCCTTCATTCAGTAGCAGCACGTCTCTGCAATAGTCACCGATGCTCATTTCCGGGTCTCCACCACTTGTAGACAAAAAACCAACTGTAATTTCTATCGTTTTGACCACGTCTGTAACATCCTTGAGATCTTTGAACTCCGACAGGATCTGAGTACAAATGTGTCCCGTTATGGGCTCCTTCCGGGGGATAAAGAGAAAAAAAATTACGTTTTGCTCGTGTAAAAGTTCTCAGTATTGCTGATGATAAATATTTGATATGTAAAAACAACGCACCTGTGGAATCTTGTGTTTCAATGCAGCAAAGGAAAACTCATCTCGGGCATCCTCGAGAAACACAAAATCTTCCACCTAACAGGTTGAAAGTTGAAAATCGAGTTTAAGGTGCCGTCGATGAGTTAAAAACAAACGAAAAACAAAGTGTAATAAGTCAAACTTTGATTCTCACGGTTATTCTTAACAAACCATCTTTGTTTCTGGGTTTGTTACAAAACACTTTAAGTTCTTTTTTTTGCGTTCTCCATTTTTCAGTGAAGCCAAGAATTCTTTATTGAAGAGTTGTGAATTTCTAGTCATTCCCTTTTGCCGTTTCAATTGCTAAAAAAAGGTCTAGCAAGCCCTAAAATGAAACCAGGCACAAAACCTCCAATCAGCGGTGCAGTTACTAATACTAAAAAAGCTTCATTAAAACGTCTTTCAACACAGTAAAAAACTAAAAATTCCTTTTAGTAAAGAGCATTATATAACAGGTTGCTTACGTCAAAGTTTACTTCTGGTCTTCCCCGTATGAACCGATCAATGATTTGCTTCTCTAGCGTTTCCCAGTTGTACTGGAGCTGCGTTTCTCTTCCCATTTCTAGTGAGTAGCTGCAGTTTGCCAACATCACGGGCAATAGGTCCCTCTCGTGGTCATACGCAATCAGCTGCGAGGGCGACACCTCAGAGAGGGGGACAAGGCCTTTGGGTCTAGTATAAGATAAAGAGCATCCATAACTGATTAGGATTTTTAGAAGTCTTACTGAAACGTAAATAAGCTTGTTTCACACAACAAAAATTATTACTGTCACATATGTAACAAATCATTTTTCAGGGGATGCCTATGGGCATCCTCTCTTTATTTCCAGAAGGCGTGTGTTTCCCATGGGACCGTATTACTTGGATTAAAGAAGAGCTGCCCAATAGCTGTGGTCACACTACAGACTTTTACCTAGGTAAAACCGATTTACCTAGGGCAAATTCATCAAAAATCTGCCTAGGTAAATTCATCTCGGGTTTTGTTTTACCTAGGTAAAAATTCTGGGAAGGTCACACTACTGATATGGGCTCCCAAAGTTTTCACGCCAGTTGAAATTTTTGGAGCGTAAATTCAAGAAGGCAAAATGCGCAGGGATCTAGCTACGCTAATTCAACGTGCAAGGTGAAGAAAGGCGAAGACGTAGACGACTCGTGCTCCCAAAATTTCTTTCACAGCGTGATCTATGTCCGGTTCTGTCATCAAGACCTTCGCCGATGAGCGACTATTGGCTAGCAACCTCGGTATTGCATTTTTCCCTAGCTATTGCTTTGGGGTAGCTGTCAAGTGAAACTCTATTGTTTTCGAGACATATCCGAGCCCCAGCCTGGGACGATAAAACTTCCCCGAGGTAACTTAGCTAGGGAAAAATCGGTCACACTTAAAAAATCAAGTTTCCCTAGGTAAACTGTCAACAAGTCGTGTTTACCTATGGTAAAAAGTCTGTAGTGTGACCACAGCTAATGATGGTAAAGATTTTATAATCCTTTGGGATTTGCTGAAACCAGTTAACATAGAACTAAAAGAAAGATATGGGAAACTATAGACTGCAAGCAGTCTTTTATTTTTCTTTTGACTACAGTAGATCGAGAGCATGGGTCAGGGGCGAGCAGCGAAGCCGCGAGGAACGAGGGCGGAAGCCCTAGCGAAGAAAAAATAAGAGACCGATGGGATCTTTGATCTGGCGATTTGCCGCTTTTCTCGCCTTCTTAATTGACAGTTGCCTCCTTCTGACAAGTGACACCATTTCACGTGCTTTTTCCTGTAACCAAACAGTTAGTATATTCACTGCTGTTTGGTTAGGAGCATTAGTTCTCTTCTTATCTGTGAGGTATTGCAATGATAATAACTTAATGAATCCCAAAACTCCGTAAAAAGAGGGTTCCTCAAAGTAAGAGAGGAAGACAGAGAAAAGGTGAAGAAGCCTGTCAATATTATAGACCGGTTTGGAAATTGCCATTGGCCTTTCGCGGACACGTATGGAAATTTCTATGGCACGAAAAGAGGATATATTTCGACAGAGAATTTATTTCAGGTTCCACAAAAGCAAGGGCTAGTTAATCCAATAACCGACCTCCGTTTCCATTTGGAAACTGGAGTGCAGTTTACGACGCGTGTCTTTCGCGATGTGCTACAAAAGTTGGAGCCGCAGTGACTCCCTTGAGAGTGAGATTTTTTGGTATTGACAGATTGACAAGTAGCCGACCAGTCGGGAATTTCCGTATCACTGAAACGGTAATTCAAAATACAACAAACCTCCGCGGTGGTCCTTTTTCCTCTCTCCGCCCCAATCGCTCCTCTTTTTACTTCGGCGGAGGGCTAAGTTAAGGATCGGGACGCTCAGGAATGTCCCGAAGTTGCTTTTTTTGGGACAAGGTTGGGCACGAAAAGTCCGTGGGTCTCCGGTCTGAATCTGACGAAGTGAGAGCCGAATATACTCCGGGGTATCTCGAGATCACTTCGAGTTCTTTGATTTATTATTTTATTCATTCGTGGAAGAAAGAATTATCTTTTTGGCTTGCCCAGGGTTTGAACCGACTTACGCGTGACCCGTCGTTATCAGATGAGACTCTAAATTGAGGGATTAGCCGATTGCGCCTCTACGACGCAAGGTAATTTGAGATGTGAAAAATAGCCATAAGTTATGCACGAGGTACGTGAAAAGATTCGGCACGCAAGTTTGTTACTTGTCGGCTTGTTATGGGTATTTGACGTAGTGACACCGGAATGAGTTGGAGATATCGGGAGATCACTTATAGTTCTTTCGGCTTCAATAAATATTTGAGGCGGAGCTCAAAGTATTAAAGGATTTGCGACGCTGAAGGATGTCGAAAACTTGTAGTTTGCTTCCAAAGTGAGGCCGGAAGCTGTTCGAGATATCTCGAAGTCAAGATTACACAAGTTACATGATTTCATGCAAAAAAATTTGGGGACAGAAATGTGTATAAAGTTTGAGAGTGAAGTGATTTCAGTTATTCAGGAGATTATTGCAGCAAGAGTGATTCGAAAGAGGAGGATCGAGAAAAAGATACGGTCGTACCTTTATCTCGATGGAGAATGTGTGGAGTTAACTATACATAAGTATTTTTCTAGAGGAAATAAAGGAAGTGGAACTGACATCTCGTCGTGCGCAATTTATTTATGACAGAAATTATAATCGAAACGTGGTCATGCACCTAGCAGACTTCCCGTGAAGAAGTTAAGACGTCTGTTACTGAAAGGAGAAAAGTAAGGGTATTTGTATGGAAGGGTATCCGGAAATATATCATTTCTTACTATTCTTCCGCATTCACAGTTAATTCCACAACCACGACGCCGAAGTGCACGCTCTCATAGCGTCTTGTTGACCAAACATTTGCATAATTTTACTTTTTCTCTCGCCTCGCGTGGCTCTGAGGAAAGAAGGACGCCGCTCGCGGTCTAGGGAAACTATAAAAACAGGTTTACGTGACTAAACCAGCGAGACTGGTTTTCCCAGTCAAGGTTGTTAACCGATTTTCCCATGACGCATCTGAAATTCTTCCCGCACGTGACCTATACGACTGAAGGTGAATGAACGCTGCGAAAATGGCCGTTTTCACACTAGAGACGGATTATCCGTCTAAGACTGGTTATCCGTTGGATAATTCGCGTCAGGCGAACGATACGTCTTAGTTTGAAAATGGGACGGTTTTAATTTTGGATGAACAATGCGCCTATCTTTATCAATCTGTTAACCTGTTAATTTTGACGGATTTTGAAGGTTTTTGAAGGTGCGTTACCCATCTCAGACGGATAATCCGTCTCTAGTGTGAAAACGTCCCATTCGCCCTGACCTCAAGTTCATGCATATGAATGGTCCGGTGAGTAAAGATTTGGCGACTTTTTCAGCTGTTGTCGTTGTCTTTGTGCTGTTCAATAAGTCAGATGACTAAAATGTGTTTTTTGTTTTTTTTAGGATAACAATCAGACGTGTAATTTTCTCCTGTTGATAATGTTGAACTATTAAAATTTGCCGATAATATTCTTGACTACTGGCGAGTCAGGTGAATTATTTCGAGGTACGCATTTCTTTAAAGCGAAAAGCTTATTTATTTTCAGCTACTGTTGTTTGTTTTTGATCGATTCGATTACTGAGTAGAACAAATGTATTTTCTTTCCTTATTGAAGGTGGACCACCGGCATGCCATGTTTTGGAATCACCATTCAAGTCATGTTATCACTCGCTGTTGACAATGCTTCGATTATTTAGGAATGTGACCCCTATTGCCAGCACCATGTCAATTAGGGCTGAATCTGTTGGAAGGCCAGCAGTGCTGAGATGTTTCATAATCACATCAGTGTTTAAATATTTACACGCGAACTTCGCAATCTTGCTTGAAATGACAGAGCTCAAAGTAGATAATGGTCCGCTTTAAAAACGCCCAATTTCTGCGACCTCAGTTGTGGCCAAGGTGTTTGAATGAATTGTCTAATATACAGATTTAGCCAGGGCTAAAAGGGAAGCTCCCATTAATAAATTTATAATTTAAATCAAACGATAAACTTGTAATCCACAAATCAGTTAACTTAAGGCACATTCACGTGTCTTTTGAGGGAAAGGCTACTTGATTTTGGAGTTAAACATCTTACGTCTAGTTTATAGCCTTATATGTACACCAAAAAAAATAGCAATCATCTTCGATCACATTCAAAAGCCATAATGGCTCTTGATCACAGTAGATTACGTCTGGAAAACAAATTCTTGAAAAACAAATCAGGCCGAATTTTTTGCTTTCGACAAGTTTACTTTACAAAATCTTGCCAACAAATCTGGGGGTGTGTAAACTAACCTTTATACTTTTTATACACCACATCTGAGGCGAAACAGTACTTTTTATCACACAGACCTCGGACAGAATGCAGTATTTCACAATATTTTCAAGACAAATTGCACTGAGTCAAAAAAGGTGAAAAAGGAAAACGATGCCATCTGAAATCGGATTTCCGACTCTGATGAGCGACGCATCTCTCAACCAAAAAAACCAATAAGCAAACTAGCCACGAATAACAGAATACTCTTGATAGCAGCTGTATTTCATTTTGTACATCCAGCTGTCAAAGTAAACAAGTTTCAAGATGCTTCATAAATTTTCCGCATGAACTCACCTGTCACATTTTGACCAATAAGAGCATAAAAATTGGACGTAGAGCGTGACCAACGCGTGACCCTGGTAAGAAAAGGTCTTCTCGCCTGTATTTTTAAATAACTGGCTGAATTTTCGCGTCCAAGGTTAGTTTGAAAGCAAAATCTTAATAGTGCGGGGCCATAGTGACATAAACACAACATATTTTATGTGAGTTTTTTTTAAAAATAAAGTTGAGCCTGCAATCATTTGAAAACTAGTAACTTGTCAGCGGATAAGTTAAAAAAAGTACTCGACCTCGATGGGTCGACACCTGAGCCTGCGATACGGCCAGGTGATACTGATCGGCTGATACCTTGTTTTGACAGCTGTCAATTGATCCACAGATATTATCCATAATTGATCACAACATTGATGTGCAATGGAAAAGGAAATAAAAACTTTTATTAAAAAACATCCAATAAAAGATTACAGTATATGAGCATAAGATATAAGTCATCACAAAATCATTGATAAAAATGTATCTAAAATAGAAAGCATTAGGCTTGGGTAAAAAAAAAAAGAGAGAAACATGTTCAAAACAATGCTTCAAACGTGTTTACTTCATCTTTCAAATCACATTTGCGATTTCTGCCCCGCTAAAATCAGTGTGCAACTCATGTTTAGTTGTTCTGGAGCTTCCTACACATAAAACTGTTGATCTCAATAGGTTAAAACATAGTTTTGCTCTCAATCAATAAATCACAGTGCTATAATCCATCTACTTCTTATCGGATAGTTTTTGAGCTAGGAGTCGGTAAGAAATCGCTCGGCTTCTCTACCGTTTCCACCATATGGTGAGAACACGAGAGGGCTGAAAGAGCCATGCTCGACTTCAATAATTCGCCGGTTGTAGTGTCGCGTTTTCTCATTCTCATTGCTCGAGAAGGCCGTGTCAAGTTTCTTTTTAAGGTGACTCTTTGCACACGGGTTAAAAACCCTGACATCAAAAACTGCACGTTGCCCCCTTTGCCAAAAACCGCGCGCGCTGACATCCAAAGGAGCCTCATCAGAGGAGTTGTCACTGCTGATTAGAACTTCTCCTGTCAAGGGCTGAAGGTGTAGCTCGACCTCAACATCATGACATACGTCTTTGAGAAGGGATGCGAACAGGTCTCGCACGTCGTCCTGCCTCCTATGGACAAATCCGCCTTTCACACACGACATTGCATGATCAACATCGAATCTCTTGCCGCAAGGACATGTAGATGGAAGGTACTTCGGTGTCCAGCGGTACCTAAGGCTGGGCGCATCGTAGAATTCCCTTTTGTTCAGGCCGAAGTTTTCTGACTTTAATGGCAATGTTGTTAACCAACTCGAGGCACCCCTCATCTTTGCCAGGTCATTTGCCCTCAGTTGTTCTGGGATCATCTTCTCACAAAGCTGCTGTAGGGTGGTGTTATTCAGCTCTTCCCTGTGTGTTGGCAATCATTCTCTTTGCGGTCTTGAGTTGTTCACTATCCATTGGTGCTGTGCTGTCCTGATTGCTGATATGTTCAATCAGCTGTTCAGTAGCTGCGCGGGAATTAGCAAACTCAATATCAGCAACAGCCGAGAAGATAGGTATTGCCAAATCACCTTTCTTTGCAGGTAAGGAGAGCAGAAGTCGTTTATCCGCGGAGCATATGTGACCATCCGTAATTGCCGGAATAAATAGTTTTCTCCTGGGTTCCCAAAGTAGTTAGAAAGTGTGAAAGTACACATTGGTTTTCCTGTGGTGCGGACGGACGGTCGCTCGGTCGGTGTACGGTCACGTGATTACCAATTTTCTGGGATGGGTAGATTTACTTAGCTATGGGGTTCCGCCCACCCGCGCGTGGAGTTCCGCTATGAACAATTATATTATTTAGAAGAGCATGACATCATCTGTAAATATCAATCGGGCTTTCGTGCTATTCATTCAACTTTGACGGCTCTACTTCAGGCCAGGGATACCTGGGCATATAATATTGACCATGGCAAAATTAATGCTGTCGTATTCCTGGATTTAAAAAAGGCTCTCGACACGGTGGACAGTGTTCTTAGTTTTGACCAAATAAACTTTTTTAACATGGCGAATTTGTTTTCACTTTCTCGGAAAGCCTTTTTTATGTGGATAACAAAAGCACGCGGTTATTTTTGAAAGAAAAAACTGTGGACAGTTTACTGACAGTTTAGCACGCAGGACGTGAACAAAGGCCAGGGGGTTTGTCCTTCTTCGGTATATTATTTGTAGAATTTAGCCTTGTTTTTTCGGTCCGTACTGTAAATTACGGATCCTCGTTTTTTTCCATCGATTTATGGCTTCGCGCTTGGGCCATAAATCGATGGAAAAAAAATCGGTCCGTAATTTACAGTACGGACCGAAAACTCGGCTAATAAGAGGTATTTATTGCCCTAAAATCTCCACTGGGTTTGCCCACAAAAAATAATTAAACGAAACTTTTTATTGTTTTTCGGGATTTAATCACAGAATTACAGGTGTATGCCCAATACAGTATTAAAAATGCGGTAAAGCAACAAGATTTAATGCTCACAGTCTCTCACTTTTTCACCCCTACAGCTAAGCGAACTTTGAAAGGATTGATATGGCGTTCCATTAGCTCTGAAGAACTGAAAATACGCACAAAGTAAAGTATAATACATCGACGATAGAAAGGAATCGTTAAAATTCATTACACCACCGGACGTTTCATTCAAAAAAAAGTTTTAAAGTCTAGTATTCTATGACAATACGAACCATAAAATCCAAAAAATCGGAGAAATCCAAGAAATCGGAGCCATTTTGAAAGTCACTGACGCGAGACGGGACGTCATACTGGCAGGCGGACTGAACCATCGATTTCTTTGGAGACAACTCACCCCCCCTGCTCCTACCCTATTAACTAAGCATCAGGTCGAGTTACATCGACGCGCAAACCGACTGGATTTGATTTGACTCCATGCGGCCCAGACTGTTGAGGAGGTTTTGATAGATCACGTTATTATTCTCTGTTGAAAATGAAGTCAGGCGGGTGACCCGCTAGACTTCAGTTGCAACAGAAAATAATGTTTGAGTTCCGAGACAAAAAAATAGCTGGGAGCAAACGGCGGAAGCATTCGTTGTCACCACAGGCATCCCCATTTGTTGCTACTTTGCTACAACCAGTTACAAAAATGATGAGACACTCCCACGGGAAAACGACCTTTCTTGCTTCAAATCGCTCCTGGTCACAGGTCTGTAAAATATAATACTGA